AGCTGCACTACCAAGTACTACAAAATCTCGCATATTGAGCGTAGTTGATATGCAGCTACAAAGATTTTTTGTGTATCGAGAGATCTGTTCGTTGTGAGATCGGAATAGTAGGTCATTAATTTGGAGGGTTTGCTTTTATACTGAAACAAAGAATTTCGAGAACAAATATTAGACCTCCAAAAAATCAATCTTATAGCTCGTGCACTTCTCGTTCGTTCCATTACCAATCTTATAACGAGCAAATTAAACTAGAACTCTCGCAATATATTTAATTATATTTCAATATAATTAAATATTCTTCTTAAACAAAAAAGAGTTGGTAATTACTTAAAAGCTTACGAACATTCCATTAAGTTTCTTACATGAAAATTAAAAATAAAATTAAAAAAAAAAAAGTTGTGAATTTACGAATCTAACCCTGCCAAGGCTTCTGGGTTTGGCTCTGAAGAGTGGCAGAATTGGGAACAATACAGTTTCCAAAACCGGTAATGCTTAGAATATCTCCGTGGGAAAGTGAACGGAGCCCCAAGAAATCTCTGGTTAAACCGTCGCTTCTTCCGGCGGCGGTGTGGTGGTGCATGGCGGCGATTGCGGCGGCGTTAAAGGCGGAGGAATCTTGATGGAAAGGATGAGAAGCAGAAGCGAGGGAATTTATCATGTCATGAAGAAAAGTGGTCGGCCCAGAAGGCGTAGCAGTGGCAGTAACCGCCGCAGAAACCGCCGCAGCTTTATTCCCATAATCAGTACAACAACTAATACTACTACAACTGACGCCCATTCCTCCTTCACGTGACCTTATACCCATCTCCCCATAATTACCTATAAATTAAAATACCACATTATTAAATTCAATAATAATAATAATTAATAATTATCATTATTATGACAATTATTCGAATCATTAACCTGTAGACACGTGAACCACCTCGTGGGTCCTTCCCATCAAGGGACTACTCATGGTCGCACCCATTTGAGCTGCCTTCTGAAGCAGCGCAGTCGCTGATATATGAGGAGACGAAACACAAGGAGGAACTAAACCACTAGGGTTAGGGTTTAGGGTTTGGTGGGTACTCCCGACGAAGATTTCGTCTGGCTGCAACCACGACGGGATTTCCGTTTTCAGATTGTTGTCGTCGTTGTTGCTACTATCACCGCCGCCAAAGCCTCGTTTAAATAATAATTCTTGTAAATTATTGTAATTTGAGATTAGAGGGCTTAATTCCATGGCTGATCTTGCACTTTCATCCGCTAATGCATCACAGAAAGCTCTATGTGTAATAAAACTATCTCTCCTGCACCAAAAGTAATAAAAATTTGTTAGGAATCACATACGCTCGTTGATAACCCTTCATCATTTCTTAAATTAGTCAACCGAGACTCCCTCCCAACACAATTATGGCATAATCGCAAGAAAACGATCATTATATTTAACCTAATGCTTCCGTGACGGTCACTAGTTTAATGGGTGTCTGGCCTAAAGAGCTCTCAGAGTATGAAAAGTGACCCGCGAACTGACTAGTGAGTCCATACTTGCACGTATGGATTGTGTGTAGAGTATATAGTACACATTCATGTTACCCGTTAGAACAGTACCATAGGAAAATAAACTGAAATGATAGATCCGTCATTGCATTTACAGAGACTCATCCGTAGTTAATTAACTAAAACTTGTTATAATTACCTCGAGAAAAGTGTTCCACAATCACATTTATATTCCTTAGTGCCACAAATTTTGGAGTGAGCTTTCCAATCAGATTGAACAGCATATTTCTTAGAACATTTATCACATTTCCACTTCTTTTCACCATGTTTTCTGCAAAAATGCTTCTTTATTCCTGTGAGGTCTCCAAGAGCTCTTAATGGATCATGGTGGACACAGCTTGGCTCAGGACAAACATACACCTTCTTCTTTATCACCTCCTTGTTTGATCTTTGCTTCAGCTTCCATGGAAGATTATGCCCTCTTCTATGTAGCTGAAGATTCTGATCTCTTTGAAACCCTTTGTTGCAAATCTCGCACACGAATCGATTTGTCGCCATGAGCGTTTTCGGCGATAACGCTATCACTTCAGCATCTGGGTCTGAATCCAAATTCACCAAAATTCAATTCTAAATAACTCGATAACTCGAAAAACCTAGATGAATTAGAATATGGAAATTTACCATGACCCAGAATTCAAACGAGTCAAATTATAAGAATTTAACATGGTATCAGACGAAACGTTACCGGGATTTCCTGCAAGATTCCGCTTCCGCTTCGGGGGAGGAGGAGAGAAAAATTGGGTCTGGTTATTGGGAGAAGAAGGAGAAGTCAAATTGGACAAAGTTTGATCCATGAGTAGTTGTTGTTGTTGTTGAGACAAAAAACTACCTTTCATCATAATGTTTATGAACAAATAACAATGGTTTTTTTGTTTTTGAAAATCCTAAGGTTTCCACATGAGATAATAACAGATCGAACACAGAACACAGACAGACAAAAACCTAAGAACAAGAAACAAGAAACAAGAACAAGAACAAGCTTCGGAAGATCTAAATGGAATAAATTTATTAAAAATCTTTGAACTATGTAATAGCCACTCGAATTTAATCTATGAACCCAGAAATTTAAAACCCAGTGTTCTTGAAAATTCTAGAGAGAGAGAAAGAAGAGAGAGAGATGGATGAGATTTGAAGAAACCATGTGTACTGGAATCACTAAACATAAGCCAAATGATAAACTCTCAGATACCCCAAAAAAAAAAAAAAAAAAAAAAAAAAAAAAAA